CACTTAATGAATAATAAATATATTTTCTCTTCCTTATGATTTTCTTAATAACATTTGCTTTTCTGTAGCTTACTTTATTGTAAGAATACAGTATATAATACATAAAACATACAAAATATGTTACTGTTATTGTTAAGGCTTCTGGTCAACAGTAGCTTATTAATAGTTAAATCTGGGGGGGATCAAAAGTTGTATGTGAATTTTCAACTGTGTGGGAGGTTGGTGTCCCAACCCCCACCTGCATTGTACAAGGGTCAACTGTACTATACAAACATCTGGGACAAAACATTCCTAGCACAAGAAAGAGAAGTGCAAAGTCCCTAAAGTGAAAACATACTGGTAATACTCAAAGAGTAGCAAAGAAACCAGTGTGATTGAGTTCAATGGGAAAGGATAGAAAATGATGTCAGAAGTAGCATAGGATACTTTGGGGCTTGGAAATGATCTCAAGTGTGACAGGGAGGCACTGGTGGCTTATGAGCAGGGAAAGGGAGAGGAACATTATCTGATCAGAAAGAAGTTGATGTCATCTATATGATAGTACAGTTTGGGAAATAAAGCAAAACTCTGAGCTAGTAATCAGAGTCTTCAATGAAAGATGAGGGATGACCAGGAAACAAGCAGGTGAGAGAAATAAGGAGAGACAGAGGGCGGCGTAGCTGACTAGAATAAGCCTGAAAGAAGCAGGCACTCTACTAGCACTGTTAGATTGAGAGAATACATGATGAGTAAGACAAAACAACTGGGGAATCTCTCAAGAGATTTAACATTTTAGTCATTATGAATGAAACTAAAATGACTATAAAATCATTTTTATTTAATTAGAATTATGAGCCTGAGTACAAATATATTATCTGCTACGTTAAAGTAATGTATTTAAATACATCAAAGTAATATGTTTTAACTATAAAGACTTTTGGCAGGAGCTTCTCAATCTTCTGGTTTGGTAGTGTTTTCCCAGGAGATGGACAGCCAACATATAACATATAGAAGCCAACTGTATTATAGTTCCATTTACTTGGAATTTCTTCATGAAATTCATGAAAGTAATATTCATTTCATGAAAGTGATATTTTATAATTTAACATAAGACATCATTCTGAATTTAGAATCTCTATATTCTAATACACATATTTATGTTGTTTCCAGACAAAGTGTCTAAGTCCTTGAATTTGCTCCACCTTGAATTTGCTTGCACACCCACCAACCCCACCATGACTTCTCACTCCACCCCTGGCCCTAGCCACTTGTTTTGTTGCCCTAGTAAAGATACACACAGTTCCTGCAGTTATAAAATCTCCCAGGGGAGAGGAGAGGCAAGCTATAGCTCCAGTCCACAGCTCCAACTAAACTGAACCAGTAGACACTTTGGCTCCCCAGCAGCTCCTCAAGGAAGCCAAGGAACATAACTCGTAAGTGTGGAAAAGCTAAACACCCAGGGGTAGACATCACTTGGTAAGAAACCGGACACAGAAAGAAGCCAACAAACAAACTGATTGCCCTTACTACTGCTTATCCTGAGCTGTTCTGAGCCTCAGTGGTTTCATCTGGCCTCTAGGGAAAATGTCTGCAAAAGTAAGCGGCCAGCTGTGTTTTCTCAGTAATGTACCACCTTATAGTTGATTCTCATTATTCATGGTAGTTATGTTCTATAAAGTAGCTGTGAACATTGAATTAATGATATTGAATCACTGCTCCTAGAGGAAATACAGGGTTAGGTTCCTGCAAGCCTCTGGTCACAACGTTTTTGTCAACAAATCATAACCTTGTTTTGTGTGTGTTTCTGTTTAAAGATTCCTTATTTAACATATATTGCTGATTCATTAATATTGAACTCACAGCCAACAGTATTACAACTCATGCATAAATGAAGCTTGTCTAACCTATGTATTTTCTCTGTAAGGCACATGACAGCCTTCTTGTGCTTAGGAACACTATATAGCACACTTTAGCACTACAGTAGGGCTATTTTAAACACTGAAAGCACAAATGAAAAGCACAAAATGTGCAGTAAATCTGGCACTAAATAGAACACAAAAGGACACTTATTTGCAGTATGACAGCTGCAACAAGAAGGCAGAGGATCACCTGGTTTAACCACTACTGGGAAACTGCAATATACAACTCTGATTTTATACCAGCCCTATGAACAAGTCTGCAAATGACCACAAAAGCACCATATTGATTTTGGACTCAGAAACAAATTTTGTTGAATAGAAAATTCAGAAAAATGGAATCCAGAAATAATGAGGACTGACTATATTTACTCTTATTCTTTCCCTTTCCCCTTATTCTTTCTTCTCTGAAAATGTACCCTTCTCCCCACCCTCCAATATAATATTAGCCCATAAACTTTACCTAAGGCTCTGTTTTCTAGAGAATGCAGGCTAAAACGTAAAATAAATCTTAAGTTAAATATGTTTGCAGCTTAAAGAAAAAAATGAATTTTCTAACTGGAAAATATACACCTGCTTTGTTTATTTCCTATTATATATTTTCTCACAAAATAGTGGCAGTGTATATTCCCCATCTGATGATGAAAACTTAAAAAAAATCAAGCTAACTACAGCAAAAAGTATACTTAATTTCCACTTTACTAAATACGTAATGTTATCTTAAAAGATAGTACAGAGGCACATTTTTTGCTTATGTGAAAATTAAAGCATTTAAAGAAGGCCCCCAAACACCTATTTATTCATATTTTAAGTAATTTGATTTAATACAGAAAGTTATCAATCATAGAAAAACTGAAAATATTTATGGTCCACTCAGATTAAAATTTTACTAAAGAGATAGCTTAATGCTCGAAAAGGGTATGGAATAAAAGGAAATTTTCTATTCAAAATTACAACAAGTTTATTAAACCCTTAGGAATATATTTAAGAATAATAACTACAGAGAATATCACAATTAGCTATAATGATTTTATAAAGACTTTCATAGGGTAATAGACATCTTAGATCAATGGAAAAGTATTAAAGGCCTGGAAAAAGACTAATAATCTTATTTAGGATATAAGTGGTATTTCATATCAGTAGAGGGTAGGGTTGGCATTAATTAACTTGGAAATTTTAGAAAAAGTCTATAAAACAAAATAAATGTCATATATATTAAAAATTAAATATAAAAAGCTAAAACCATAAACGAGCTAGAACATATACATGGGTATTTTAATTATCTAGGAGTGAAAAAAATCTTTCTAAGTATAAGCAGTGGAGAAAATATGAAGGAAAAAATTCATAGATCTAACTATATAAATATTGAAAGCCAGTAAAAAACAAATTTCTACAGTAAATTAAAAATATGGAGAAAATCTTTTCAAAATGAATAGTAAAATATTAAGATTTTTTTTTTTTTTGAGACAAGGTCTTGCTGTCACCCAGAAAGCTGGAGTGCACTGGCATGACCACACCTCACTGTAATCCTGTGCTCAAGCAATTCTCCCACCTGAGCCTCCAAAGTAGCTAGTACTGCAGGCCTGTATCACCACACTTGGCTAATATTTTTATATTTTTAGGCTGGTCTTGAACTCCTGGCCTCAAGCAATCCTCCCACCTTAGCTTCAAAAAGCATAAGCCACTGAACTCAGCCAAATATTAAGGTTTTTTATACATACTGAGCTTTTATGAATAAATTAGAAGAGATAATCACAAAAGAAAATCAATATAGATATAAAAATCAAAAAGAATAAATACAAATAAAAAAAAAGAAGTGGAAGAAAATGTTTGACATCACTAGAAACCAAAGAAATACAAATTAAAACAAACATTTGTTACCCATAAACTGTGGGAATAATATGAATCCTATTATCTAGTGTTCAACTGCTGAAATATGGTAACTCCCACAGCCTTTGGTTTAGCAGAATAAATTGGTACAACTTTTTCAGAAAACCATTTGATAATGTGTACTGAAAGTGTTTAAAATGCTACATACCCTTTGACCAGATATTCAGCTTTTAGGAATTAACTTTAATGAAATTATTTCAATCTACATACAGATAAAACTAAAAGAATATTCATCTAAAAGTAATAACAAAGAAAAATTGAGAAACAACCTAAAATTCCAAAACCAATGGTCTATTTAAATTATGATACAGCTTAGAATATTTAATGTCTAGGTAAAATATTCACGATATTACATTTGATTTTAAAAAGTTGTGTGTATGTATATGTGTCTCTCTGTGTAATATTAATACATAGCTTACTATTTTCCAGGCAGTATTAAGCACTTAAAAAATATATTCCTTATAGTCCCCAGTGAGTTAGGTATTATTGCTAATTTTAGTTTACAAAGCAACATTATGACAATTTCTGTTTTAAAAAAGTTGAAAAACACACATGTAGTGTACATATACCCACACACATTAAAAGACCCAAAAGGCCTTCATCAAAATGATAGTAGTTATCTCTAGAATAATATATGATTATTCTTTTCATTTATATTTCTAAGTTTTCAACAAAAACACATATTGCACGTATTATAAGGAAAGATGTTATTAAAAATAAAATATAAAGAAAATCAACTCACTTGCTTACTTGTATTATTCATATATAGAAATTTTCCTCAGTTCAGAATAGAAACATGAGATTAATTCAACTGCTTCTTCTTAAGGCTGTGTCCATTAGGGGAAAAATCTAGTCAAGATTCATAAGCCAGTGTTGGATACTGGCTACCCAATGCTTTTTGACTAGATATATGTCATCCCAAATTTTGCCACCATTCCAACACACACCAATTTTGTATGCTCTATCAGATCCTAAACTATAAAAAGCGACCTAAATCTTCATCATGTTATTTGCACAAAGTCTAAAAAAGGTTTGAGTCTACAACTTATTAGAGATTTTACTCCTACAAATCACTTAGCCTTGGTTTTCCCATCAATAAAACAGAAATAATACCTTCCTCAAAAGGTCATATATACAATGCTTTAGCTCATACCAGCTCAATAACTACATTTCTTAACTATTTAAATTTCTTTAAATTACATGGTTGTTACTTACCGACAGGATAATTCTCCATCCATAGCATCATGTTCATCTGTACTGGTATATGTTAATCTTCCTCCTACAACTGTCCCAACTAAGTATACTAGCCATGCAAGACGTCCTAATATATAACAAGAAAGAAAAAGGTTAGGAAATATTAATAGAAACAAGCTTATTTTTCAAAAATGTCCAAATTTAGCAAAATTATCTATTCTTTCAAACAAGTGATAAACTACTATGAACTCAGTTCTTGACATAAAGTAGAGATTTGGGCATTAAGTTTATCAAGGCAGTATAACAGTTAGAACGGCACAGATTTTAGAGTCAGATACAACTACATTTGAATCCCACCTCTACCAATTTTCTATGTGATCTTACATAAGTTACTTACATCTTTAAGTCTTAGGACTTTTTCATTTGCAAAATGGAAAAAATAATATCTACCATGAAGACTTATGATTGAAATTAAATTTGATAACAAAACAATAAATGTAATATTGAGGACCAGGACTGTTATTTAGTAGGAAAGTACTATTATGAATGATCCAATGACCAGCATCTTTTCTGAATGTTCAATGTCATGACAGTACAAGTCTGATCATTTTAAATATTGCTCCTGCTTAAAACATAATAGATGGTAATAAATTTATTCCCTTTGTATTTTTGTGCATGATTTTAAAAAATCCAAGATTTCACTGTGCAATTCATGTTGTTTGACAGTCGAGTTAGCTTCATGGCCAATAATAGCAAAAGATGAAATATTTTCACAGGAGTGGCACAAATGGCAACATTTATAGTTTTCACAAATCTTACTTTGAAGTATACTGCCAAAATTGACTAATTTGGGAAATGGAAGTATTTATTGAATGATTTTTGTTTAATGCATATTATTTTACACCTCTGGATTCATCACATAAGATCCTCCAGTATGAATAATTAACAACATAAAATTAACTTCCTAAAAAGAAATTTTGTGCTATCCCTAGAGACTAATTTTTCACAGATGAGCAGGCTATTTCGTAGTACTTAAATCAATTACATTTCTGATTGTACAACCTTTTCAAGTGAACTTAGGGGTTCAGAAAAGGTGTGGAATTTAACAGTCAAGAAAGAGGCTATCTGTGCTTGTTAGAAGACTTAACGTTAAAAAAAATGTAGAAAAAGAATACATTCTTCCTATTTTCCTGTGGATAATAGCAGTCATTATTATATTACAACTAATGAACAACTCCCTCATAATTTCTGAAGAGACATCAGACTATTAAGGTGACAGACTTTCTGTAAATTAGAAATATAGTGTGTCATATAACCACATCCCTTATGCTATCAAAAAACAAAAATGAATAAATCCAAATTGACCAATGATACAGCTTTATACATTAGCAATGTGAAACACATTAAATAGGAGAACATAATACTAATTTGATCAAGTAATCATCATAAAACAGACTCAAGTTTCATGATATGTATAATTAGTGAAAAAGGTAAAGTCCATGTAGGAAACTGAAGGTATTCAGAAAGTTACTCTATGTACTTCAAAGTGTTTTATAATCAATAAAAGTCTATAATAACATAAGCTCTTCCCTGATGACCCAGCTTCCTCTGTAGGCCCTGACAAGTGCTAGCTGCTTTCTCTTCCACATCACTTATATCCTGGGCCTTGACCACGGAAGTGTTGTGTTCCTCATGTCCACATTCAGAACATTCTCCCTCTCTTCATCATAAAAGCACTCACCTTCACACCTTATGTCATCAAACTATATACTACCAAATATCCCTCCTTGTTGCAATTATCTACACTCCCTCAGATTATTTCCCTTATTTTTTGAAGGTATTGGTTTCTGGCTCCCTGTCACTCTTTCAAACAATATTTATATCATAATCCTTATTGATTCAATATCTACAAAGATGAATCCAACAATCCTTTTGGTCTACTGGGAATCTCCAATCTATGAAGCTATCACTTTTTAATAGCTTCACTGAAATATAATTCACATACAACTAACCCACTAAAAGTATTAATATATAATTAAATGTTTTTTAGTAAATTCACAGGGTTGTGTAACCATCACTACAGTTTAATTTTATAACATTTTCATGCTTCCCAAAATAAATCCCACCACATGAGCAGTCCTTCTGCATTCCACTCCAGCCCTCCAGCCCTAACCAACTACTAGGCTATTTTATATCTCATTAGATTTTTTCCATTCTGGTAATTTCTCATGAATGTAATCATACAATATGTGGTCTTTGTGACTGTTTTCGTTCACTTAGCATTATGTTTTTAAGAATCACCCATGTCATAGCATATATCAGTAGTTACGCTTCCTCATAGCTGAACATTCCACTGTTTGAATATATCACATTTTAATATTTTTATTGATATGTATCTGTATATATTTACAGGGTACATGTAATATTTTGTTACATACACAGAATGTGTAATGATCAAGGGTATTTAAGGCATCTAACATCTCTAGTATTTATCATTTCTATGTGTTGGGAACATTTCAAATTCTCTCTTCTATTTTCAAATGTACATTTTTGTAAACTATAGTCACCCTACTATAATGTCAAACATTAGAACTTATTCCTTCTGTTTATTTGTGCCCATTAACAAACCTCTCTTCATTCCCCTCCTCCCACCCAAATACCCTTCCCAGACTCTGATAACTATCATTCTATTGTATACCTCCATGAAATCAATTTTACTATCTTTGTTTTAGCTCCCACATATGAGTAAGAAGATATATTTGCCTTTCTGTGCCTGCTTATTTCATTTAACATAATAACCTCCAGTTTCTTCCATGTTGCTACAAAGAACATGATTTCATTCTTTTTTATAGCTGAATAATATTCCAGTGAGTATATGTGCCACATTTTCTTTATCTATGTATCTGATGATGGGTATTTAGGTTGATTCTATATCTTGGCTATTGTGAATAGTGCTTGACTAAACATAGGGGTGCAGGTATCTTTGATAATACCCTGTCGTGGGATTGTTGGGTCATACAGTAGTTCTATTTTTAATTTTTTTAGAAATCTCCACATTGTTCTGCATAGTGGCTGTACTAATTTACACTCCCACCAACAGTGTAGAAGAGTTCCCTTTTATCCGCGTCCTCACCAGCATCTGCTATTTTTTGTCTTTTTAATAAGAACTGTTCTAACTGTGGTAAGATGCTATCTCATTGTAGTTTTGATCTGCATTTTCCTCATGACAGATGATGATAAACATTTTTTCATATACTTGGCCATTTGTACGTCATCTTTTAAGAAATGTCTATTCATGTCCTTTGCCTACTTTTTAATGGACTGTTTTAAACTGTTGAGTTCCTTGTATATTCTGGATATTAATCCCATGGCAGATGAATAGTTTACAATGTCTATTCACTCTGATTGTTTCCTTTGCTGTGCTGAAGCTTTTTAGTTTATTTTTGTTGCCTGTGCTTTTGAGGTCTTAGCTATAAAATCTTTTCCTAGACCAGACCTAAAGCATATGTCAAGTTTTCTTACAGTAGTTTATAGTTTCTGGCTTTATATTTAAGTCTTTAATCCATTTTGAGTTGATTTTTGCATGTGGTGACAGAAAGGAGTCTAATCTCATTTTTCTGCATACTCAGATCCTGCTTTCTCAGCACAATTTATTGAAGAGGCTGTCCTTTTCCCATAGTATGTTCCTGACACCTTTGTCAAAAATTGATTGGCCATAAATGTATGTATTTATTTCTGGGTTCTCTATTCTGTTACATTAGTACATGTGTGTTTTTACATCAATACTACCATGTTTCCCCGAAAATAAGACCTACCCATAAAATAAGCCCTAGGAGGATTTCTAAGCATTTGCGCAATATAAGCCCTACCCCGAAAATAATACCTAGTGATGGGCGTGGCTACGCAGGGTATCTGCACAACCCATGCATTTCGTCGCAGAATGGGAAAGAAGACGAGCAGCCCTTTCATCCGCCCCATGAGAGCTCTAATGCTCGACATGAGAGATTGGGGTCAATGGTTCTAAATGATAGAGTCGCAAGAAATTCAAGATGGAATTCGGGGTTTGGAGACTTACAATGATGTTCCAGAAGACGAAGACTTAACTATATTTGAATAAATGTAGACTGTTGTACCATACTTAAAAAAAATAACACATCCCCTGAAAATAAGCCCTAGGGTGTCTTCTTGAGAAAAAATAAATATAAGATCCTGTCTTATTTTTGAGGAAACACGGTATGCTGTTTTGGTTACTATGGACTTATCACATTTGATTTGTCCATTCAGTTGATTAATGTTTGGATTGTTACCACCTTTGGCTATTATAAATAATGCTGCTAGGAACACATGTGTACAAGTTTTTATGTGGATACATGTTGTCATTTCTCTTAGGTATCTAGGGTTGGAATTGCTGGGTTATGTGATACCTCTACTTTTAACATTTTGAGAAACTGCCAAACTATTTTCAAAAGCATCTGTGCCATTTTACATTTCCACCAGCAATGTATGAAGGCCCAATCTCTCCAAATTCTTGTCAGCTTGCTATTGTCTTTTTGATTACATCCATCCTAATGGGTGTGAAGTGGTATCTCATTGTAATTCTGGCATGCCTTTCTCTAATGACTAATGACGTTGAGTATCCTTTCACATGTTCACTGACCACTGTGTGTCTTTTTTGGAGAAATGTCTACTCAAATCCCTTGCCCATTTTTAAGGGTTGTCTTTATTATTGGCTTGTAAGAATTCTTTATGTATTCTAGATGCTAGTCTCTTATCAGTCACACGATTTTCAAATATTTTCTCCCATTCTCTGGGCTGTGTTTCCACTTTCTTGATGGTGTCTTCTGATGTACAAAATTTTTAAAAACTGTAGTAGATTTAGGGTTACAAGTGTTTTTTGGTTACTTGGATGAATTGTATAGCTATAAAGTCTGGGCTTTTAGTGACCCATCACCTGAAGAGTGTATGTTGTACTCAATAGGTAATTTTTTACTCTGTATCTTCATTATCCCTACCCCCTTCTGAGTCTCCAATGTCCATTATATCACTCTGTACATCCATAGCTCAGTTCCCACTTATACGTGAGAACATGCAGTATTTGGTTTTCTGTTCCTGAGTTACTTCACTTAG